CCCACAGAGGCTGTGAGCCACTGGTGGCGGATGACCCCAGGGGCACTCAGCAAGACCCTGCTGAGCATCATGGGAATGACCTGTGGATCTCAGTTTGTGGAGGGAGGAGCCACGAACTTGGGCAAGTCTCTAAACCTCAGCTGTGGAATGAGGATAGTGAAGTGAACCAGCCTTTGATGCCTGGAACCTTCCCTGAGAGGTAGGCAGTGCTCCCGCTCCTGCCCCACAGGGGAGAAGGCTAGAAGCCAGGAGGGAAGACCCTGGCGGTCCGAACCCCAGATCAGAGGAGACAACGCACGTCAAGCGGTGCCAGGCGCAGCACAGCACACGTCCAGCTGATGGTGTGTGTGGCACGTCCACAGGCTGAGTGGTGTGGGCTCTCTCAAGGCAGCGGAGGCTGACCAGGTGAGGAGGAGCAGGGGACTGTGTGCTCTGCCTGGCTGCTGACTTTTTACTGCCTGCAGACTCATCTAAGGCACTGGCCCTTCTTGGGCCTCCAGCCGGTGACCTTCGGGACTAGAACTCACATCACAAGCTCTCCTGGGCCCCCCGACGGGCACCTGCAGAGCCTGGGATGCTCAGCCTTCTCCCTTCCCTCTAGATCCTATTGCATCTGTAGTGCTGGAACTGCAGGTGTGTGGTACCCTGCCTGGTCCTTAGCCTCCATCATGGTGTGAGCCAATCCTTTACATTTCTCTTTCTGTGAGTGCTGTTGGCTCTCTGAAGGACAATCAGTGTTAGCAACACCAGGACTATGCCAGGACCTCCCGGAGGCTCCTGAGTACCAGGCGCTGTGGAGGTGCTTGCTGGGGACTCAGGAGCACTGACATAGGCCCTACCACCATGACCACGAGTAAGGGGCAGAGTGGCTTCCCATTATGCCAGAAACCTGCAAAGTAAAATTTGCTTATTATGGAGAGATTTACAGTCATGCCTTTTAAAGATGTTTCTTAAAACAAACCTGTAGTCACGGTAACCCTCTTAAAACAAGATGTGACCTGGCTTGGAGAACCTGAGAGCTAATTACAATAGTGCTTTGTATTTAGCTACCCTTTCTTCTGTAAGTTTTATGGACCTCCCTCATTAAGCTCTACAAACACCCTCTGAAGTCCTTGGGGGACAGATACTATAAAGCCCATTTTACAGATGTAGGCACCAAGGAACGGGTAAAGTTAAGTGACTTTGCCACTCACTGGAAGCTTAGCACGAGCAAGTCTGGGCCAGACCCAGCTCTCCTCGTTTCCTCTGCTGTCTTTACTAACCAGACTCCATCCTGGGTTTGGAAAGCTCTCCATCATTAAAGGATTAGGTTCCCACAGCCGGGGCTGGGGATCCCAGACTCTGTTGCTCTAGATCTGCACACACAACTACACAGAAGCTGCGGGCCCATGGGGGAAGGGAGGAGCGTGGAGGGCACCCAGGTGTGGGGCAGGGGTGAGGTAGGAGGAAGTGAGCTTCTGGAGCCCCTGAAAAGGCCAGGTGGCCATGGCTTACCCTGCCATCCCCAGGGAAGTTCAGTGGATACCAAGCCATGCCTGGCAGTCCCGGGTCCTCTACTCTGTTGCAGATACCTCGGCCCTGGCTCAGGCCCTGTAGTAGGGCCTGTGGTCCTGGGGTGGGGCACCAGAACAGTGCCACCATCGGTGACGTTTGCTGGCCACATGACAGATCCACAGTCAAGAGTTCTGCTCTATAGGCCTCCAGGGGCTCAGGTGCTCACTGCATCCTCTGCTCACAATGTTTCCTGGACGCTAAGTCTTCTCCCAGATCTCAACCTCTCTTCCAGGCCTACTCCGACTTCAGAGACCCCCCAGCCCCTCTCATCCCTCACGCTGCCCAGCGCTCATCCTGCCAGGTCTTGTGAGCGCAGGGCACCGAGGGGTCACTAGGCTGTGGCTGTACAGACCGTGACGTAGGTCACTGGACCGATGAAGGGGAGGAAGAAACATGTGTGTGAATGAGCACTCTGAACTTGAGGTGTCAGAGGGCTCTGTTTGGAAGCTGGCTGTGTGAGCCTGGGAGAGCGGCACGATGCAAGGCAGAGGACAGAAAGGTTTAGGGAAGGAAGGCCCGTGGGGGCACGGGAGGCTGGAGGGAGCCGGAGGGGTGTGTCTCTGGGATAAAGAGGCAGACATGGGGGCTGGGCAGGTGGCTCAGTGGTAGAGCGCTTGTCTTGCATGCATGAGGCCCTGGGTTCGATTCCTCAGCACCACATAAGCAGAAAAAAAAAAAAGCCGGAAGTAGCACTATGGCCCAAGTGGTAAAGTGCTAGCCTTGAGCTGAAGAGCTGAGGGACAGCGCCCAGGCCCAGAGTTCAGGCCCCACAACTGACCAGAGAAAAAAAAGACGAGGCAGACAGGCAAACTACCAGAGGGCAAGAAAGCCCAAGATGAGTCTAGTCACACTTGGGAAGATGGGGGCCAGCTCCCTCTTCCCGGAGCTCGATTGGGGAGAGGGACTGAGGTGGGATCTGATTAGTGCAGGTGGGTGAGGGGTGTGAGCTGTGTGGACTCATGCCTGTGCAGCAGGGTGAAGAGAGGTAGTGTCCACATGAGCATGGGAAATAGACGAGAGGGCCCGCGGAGGGAGACGGGGCCGCAGGCGGAGGGGGTGGGCGGGGAAGCGCACTCGGGCAGGTGCTCCGGCCAGCTGGACCTGGGGGGCCCACGAATTCTTGGTGTAGGATGCTTCATTTTGTCTGCAGCTAAAACAAACTCAAGGCTACTACACAAATGTAGTTGGCCTCTCTCCTGCCCTTTGGCTTTGAAGTTCCATCTGGGTTTACAAAATAGTCGCAAACAGTCTGGAACCAATGCCCATCAGAGACTAACGACTTCCTCCTCCATGCCACCCGGTATGGGAATTCTCACTGGGCAGGAAGCCCAGAGCACAGGGCCTCCACAGCAAGGGAGGGCCAGCAGGAGCCCCACTGTGGCACGCACCCCTGCAGCTCAGGTTTCAGCCACGGCACCGTCTCCCCCTTCTTCTTCTTCTCTTTTTTTTTGTATCAGTCCTGGGGCTTGAACTGGGCTTGGGCACTGTTCTTGAGTTTTTTGCTCAAAGCTAGTGCTCTACCACCTGAGCTCCACTTCTGGCTTTTTTGGTGGCTAACTGGAGGTAAGAGTCTTATGGACTTTCCTGCTGGACTGGCTTTGAACCGTGATCCTCAGGTCTCAGCCTTCTAGGGAGCTAGGATCACAAGTGTGACATTCAGCAGTCCTTCCATCTCTCTTACTCTTTTTTTCTGTCAGTCTCATGGGGTTTGAAATCTGGGTCTGGGCCCTGTCCCAGCTCTTCAGCTCAAGGAGAGTACTCTACCACTTGAGCCACAGTGCCACTTCCAGTTTTCTGGTGGTTAATTGGAGATAAGAGTCTGACGGACTTTCCTGCCAGGGCTGGCTTTGAATGGCGATCCTCAAATCTCAGCCTCTTGAGTAGCTAGGATAACAGGCTTGAGCCACTGGTGCCCAGCACTCTTTTTTTTGCAGGTCATGTGACTTGAACTCAGGTCCTGGGCTCTGTCCCTGAGCCTCTATGTGCTCAAGGTTAGGGCTCCACTACTTGAGCCACAGTGCCACTTCTGGCTTTTTCTGAGTAGTTTATGGGAAAGTCTCATGGACTTTCCTGTCCAGGCTGGCTTTGAACTATGATCCTCAAGATCTCTGCCTCCTGAGTCACTAGGATTATAGGTATGAACCACCAGTACCAGGCACCTTGCATCTCTTCAGGGTGAGGACTCATGGTTTCTAGTGAGGTCCTACCGGCCAGCTGCTCATGAAAAGCATGGGCTGTCTTGAGTTGGAAAGCAGCAGCACTGCACCCAACAGTTCACTTCAACTGTATTTATTAATTCTGGAAAATCTGTGTGAACAAAATAATTATAAAATAAAAAAATTATTATGGGTAAATTTTCCCCTCACGTTCAAAGAGGTGCACAGTTCCTCAACCAAGTAGTGCACAGGTGCCTAATCATGAGGGCCCTGCAAGCATAAGGCCAATTTCACGTTCTTCCAAAGGAGAAGAGTAAAAATGATACCAATCTGTATATAACTTTATAGGAGTTGGGTGTGGTGGTGTATGCCTGTAATCTCAGCACCTAAAAGGCAGGATAGCGAGTTTAAGATTAGCCTCAGCTACATAGAGACTTAATAATAATAAAAAAAACAAAAAAAACAAGTTTTAGAGTGTCTAAGATATAATAAAGTATGTACTCACAGTATTTATGTAAAAATGAAAGCACTTATTCAAACACCTTGCTGTCTTTTTACAAATTCCGAGCAGAATTCAGTCTAAGACACAATAGACTCAGTTTACTTGGGTTTTTAACTTCATTGGCACATAAGTTAAGCCAGGTTTGAAATTCACTTCCTAAGCAAATCATCCAATTTTTTAAAAAAGGTGTTTTTTCTTCTAATGATCTCTTAAGTTTACCAGAGAAAGAAGGAAGAAGGCTGGGAGGCCAAGGACAGGAGGAGGAGCCTGGGCTTGGGAGACAGGCCTGGAACACAGTCGCCCTTCATCTGCAGTGCCTGTCCATAAAGCAAAGAGAAAAGCAACTGGACGCAGAGGCCAGGGACAGGAGTAGGGGAGAGAAGCCGGAGAGGAAAGCAGTGGGAACTGTAGCCCAGGATGGGCTGCTTGCCAAGAACCAACAATCTTTTTCTGTGACCATGTCTTACACACAAATGCTCTACATACTGGAAACAGACTTGGCCCTCAGACCAGAGCAATGGACATATGACCCACACTGGCCACTGCCTCTGCGGCAAGCTAACCTGCCTGAAGCACAACAGACCACAGGAGGAAGAAGAAACCCAAGAAAAGGGGGAAAGGGAAACCTACAGAGACAAGGAACCATAAGGAAAAGGTGGAAAGGAGGAAGGAAGAGATAGCATGAGCAGCCAGATGGAAGGAGATGCAAAAGCAGGAAGTGGTGCTGTGGCTCAAGTGGTAGAGCGCTAGCCTTGAGCACAAAGAGGTTCAGGGATAGCGCCTAGGCCCTGAGTTCAAGTCCCAGACCAGCAAATTAAAAAAAAATAAAAAAGATACCTTCCAAACCATGAATTCCAATGTTAATCTCAAAAATTAACTAAGGCAAGGATCTTTCTTAAAGAAGCCACCCAAATGAAAGCATTTATTGTTATACGCTCCTCCCATCAAGTTAATCCCCAATTGTACTTAATCAGAAAAATAACCTTGTGTCACATTAAAATAGCCAGTAGCTCCCACTTGTTACTATTACCATTATTTGTCCTGTTAGTATAAAAATAGTTTTGAAAATATCCCAAACACAGAGGCAGGCAAACAAACCTGTCCACACAAACTTAAAAATGCGAGCAGGGCCAGGATGCGCTGCCAGCAAACCAGGAGGAGACTGCAGAGGTCCGCCAGTGAGCGCAGTGGCCGTTACAAGGCAAGAAGCTCCTAAGACATGACAATCTTCGCTTTCGGCACAGGGCAAACCTTTCGTTTCAGGGTCACCTTCTGCAATGCTCAAGGAGGATCTGGTCTACTCAGTTAAACCAGGAAGGACAGTATTTGTAAGGGGGCAACAACATAGAAAAGAAGCGCTGTGGGGGGCCAGCTGGTATCCTTGTCTGGGCTTCCCTCTGACCCACAGCTGGGCTCAGTGGTGCTTCCTGGCCCCAAACAGAGTCCCTTCCACGCTCAATGAAAGGACCGGCCTCTTCTGGGTCTGGACCTCAGGTGACCAGCTGACCGGCGAAGCTTCTTCCTCTCTTGTCGGTGCAGTTTCTCAGCCTCCTGCTGCTTCTTTTGCTGTTCCGACTAATACAGAAGATGAGAAGATGAGAAAATGAGTGAAGGCAATGGCAAAACGAGGGACAAGGCTTCCTTTGGTGACCCTCAGCATACAGCAGCACCACCTGTCACGGGCCTGCCTAGAGACAAACGCTGCCCTGGCTCTGGCACTGCCTCAGGTTGTTGGACTTGGCTCCAAAAAGCTTGCCCTGGCAAGGACTGGCAGGACCTGGCAGGACTGATGAGACACAGGTCACCTTTCATCATTACTGGAAAAGCAGTTCTAAACCTCTGGGCCAGCCAAGTCTGACCAATGTAGCAGTCCAGCCTTCACTCCTGGACGCTTTCAAAAGGCCCGCAGAAGACACCACTGCTTATCAGATGCCCACCCTGTTTTACGTCTTTTGCTTATAAGCCAGACTATTAGTTTATTTTTACTATCTTAAAAACAAAAAACAAAAACCTTGCATTTTTTTACCCACACTTAATTTTGGCTAAACACAGTCTACTTGAAAGCAGAGGTTTGCTCTTAGGAATCGCTGCCGAGGAGTTGGCAGACAGCGGGGAGTGGCGAGGGAGGCCTGGGGCTGAGGGCAGGGGAGGGGCCGCATGTGTTCTCCACGCTCCCCAGCTCCCCACCCCCACTGCCACCAATGGTGTCATGACTTTCAGCAGAAATTCTTCGAAGAGGCTCGATGCAGGGTCCAGTGTTTCACAACCACATTGGATGGTTTCTGAGAAAGCAACTTCTGCAGGTAGAGCTCTGCCCACACCGGCTAGAAGTGCCTGTGTGGCACAAAGGCCAAGCTTGGCAGGCTGTGGAGGATGGGAGATTCTGTCTCAAAGGCCCTACGGTGCCTGTGTTGCTACACACATACAAACACACCCAGGGAGCTCTTGGCATGGATTCTGAGTAACTGCTGGAGGCCCTTGCTGACCACTCCTTTTCCTCCCTGTTACTTTCAAAGTAACCTGTCCTGGGTGTTCTTCTGAAGTCCAGTACTGACGCTCTCACACACTCCACCAGAGCTCCCTTGACTTCCTCGGGGACCCGCGAAGGGAGCCATGTCCTGCGGTCTCGCCTCTACCAGTCCCCTTTAATCTACTCCCTTCCAATGGACAGCATGATTAAAAAATAAAAGTAACAGTGCTATGTCAGCTGGGCACTGGAGGCTCGTGTCTGTAATCCTAGCGACTCAGGAGGCTGAGATCTGAGGCTCACAGTTCAAGGAAGCCAATCAGGCAGAAGAGTCTGTGAGACTTATCTCCAATTAACCAGCAAAAAGCAAGAAGTAGAGGTGCAAGTGGGAAGGGTGTCAGCTTTGCGTTAAAAAAGCTCAGGGACAGCATCTAGGTCCCGAGTTCAAAATCAGTATTAACACACATCTACAAAAATGAATTTGGGGGCTGGGGATGTAACTCAATGGTAGAAATGCAAGACCTGGGTCTGATTCCCAGCAATGGAAGAAAAGAAGAAAGAAAGAAAAGAGAAAGAGAAAGGAGAGAACTTTATGATCTATGGATTATAGCTCAATTTTTGTATGTGACGGTACTGGGACTTGAACTCAAGTCCTTACTCTCTCTCTCACTTAGCTTTTCTGCTTAAGGCTGGCTTTTTACCACTTGGGCCATACCTCCACTTCCAGGTTGTTGGTTTTTTTGGTCAGTTGCAGGGCTTGAACTCAGGGCCTAGGCACTGTCCTTAAATCTCTTCCTGTTCAAGGCTAGCTCGCTACCGCTTGAGCTCTACCACTTCTAGTTTCTGAGTGGTTAACTGGAGATAAAGAATCTCACAGGGACTTTCTGCCCAGGCTGGCTTCAAACTGTGATCTTCAGATCTCAGCCTTCTGAGTAGCTAAGATCAGAGGTGTGAGCCACTGGCACCTGGCTCCACTTCCAGCTTTTTGATGGTAACTGGAGATAAGAGTCTCTTGGATTTGTCTGCTCTGGCTGGCTTTGAAATACAAACCTCAGATCTTAGCCCCTTCTGTAGCTAAGATTACAGATATAAGTTGTGAGGGCCTGGTTTTGTACCTCAATTTTAAAAAGGAAGCAGAGGCAGAATCTTGATCATTCATTCTGCTTGGTGACTATATTGAGGGTGACCAACTAGGAATGAGAAAACCTTTTTGAGAGTAAAACCATGTAGTTTCACTTGTTAATTAATAGCAAATATTTAGGCAACTTACTTTCCAATATGCAGAAGGCATTACTTCAGAGGTTAAAGAAACGGATCTTAGGGGGCTGGGAAGGTGGCTCAGTGGTAGAGTGCTTGCCTAGCATGCATGAGGCCCTGGGTTCAATTCTTCAGCACCACATAAAAAGCCAAAAGTGGCACTGTGGCTCAAGCGATAGAGCGCTAACCTTGAGCTGAAGAGCTGAGGGACAGTGCCCAGGCTCAGAGTTCAAGCCCCATGACTGACCAAAAAAAAAAAGAAAAAAAAAGAAAAAAAAAAGAAATGGATCTTACAGAAGAGCTTAGAATAGTGTCACAACTGGCAGAGCCACTCAGCTGGGGAAAGTATGGAACACCGGATGGGGCTGACATGAACGCATTAGCACAGCGCGCATCCTTGAAATCCACAGGTTCTGTTATATCCTTAGACGGTTAGGACTTCTGCTTAGCCAGGCTGTAGCACATGCTTCAGTGAGACCCCAAAATAAGGCAGAGGTTCAACCCCAACAGCCACTCCCAGCTCTCAGAGGCCCTGCCTCCCTGGGCTATATTAACACTCCTCAATCTGCTTCCCCCTGTCAACTGTGAGGGGCTCTGGCCGCAGGGAAAATGCTAGAACTGGGAACACAGCTTCCTCAGGGAGGGAAAAACTTGGGAAGCAGTCCTGGTGGACACATAACATTACCCTTCATGAATTGTCCCTTTAAGAATTAAAAAGCAATATTAAAAACAACTTACCCTCTTTAATGTGAATGTCAATTGCTTGCTGCCAACAGTGGTGTCAGATACACTCAATGTTCCATTTTTTGCTTCGAGTTTCAAACGATCTTCCAGGGTTTTACTGTAGAAAATTTAAAAGAACGACACATTAATTAGCCTATTTTCATTAGCCAACTAGGATTAATCACATGAAGTCTTGCACACGTGGTAAAGGCAAAGTATCATTCACATCAGGGAACCCATGGAAAGATTCAGAGCACTCACACCATCATTACTCATACCTGACATCTACATCTGAACAATGGCTGATTGACACCCATTGGATATTTAAGTGCAGTATTGAGGGCTTTAGTGATTGTTACTCATCTACTGAATCATATTTCTGAAGTCAAATAAGGAGCAATGTATTTCCTGTCTGTAGCATTTTTGGAGCTAAGGTGTTTTATACTTAAGCCATGCATGAGGTGGTATCTGAGCATTTCACTCTCTTCTCTTCTACGAGGGAATGAATACAAAGAGCTAGAAACCACTCTGACTTCTCTTCACTGGGCTTCAGCAAGCCAACACCTTTAGCATGGATCCACCTTAGTACAGAGACAGGAACGGGAAGCAATTACACTTGATTACTACATGATCTCTCTAATCACTGATTTCTACGAGCATCTTGCAGCCTTTTACTTCAATTATTCTAACACACTTTATCCCAAAGTTAAATCTTATTTCATTTCTTGATCTTATTTTCCAGACTCGAGGTATCCTTATACAATGTGTGTATCATTTGTTGTGTCTTTTAATTCATGAACAATCCTGCCTGAGCTTTCTAGTTAAACTTGAATTTTCTAGGCTGGGAAGGTGGCTCAGTGGCAGAGCGCTTGCCTTGCATGCTTGAGGCCCTGGGTTTGATTCCTAAGCACCACATAAGCAAAAAGAAAAAAGCCGGAAGTGGCGCTGTGGCTCAAGTGGTAGAGCGCTAGCCTTGAGCTGAAGAGCTGAGGGACAGCGCCCAGGCCCAGAGTTCAGGCCCACGACTGGACCCAAAAAACAAAACAAAACAAAAAACAAACTTGAATTTTCTACTAGCTATATAATACCTCATTGCATGTTGCTGTAATTTTTTTTTTTTTGGTTGGTTGGTTGTGGGGCTTGAACTCAGGCTCTGGGCACTGTCCCTGAGCCTTTCTGTGCTCAAGACTGGTGCTCTACCACTTGAGCTACAGCACCCACTTCCAGCTTTTTCTGTGTATGTGGTACTGAGGAATTGAACCTAGGGCTAGGAATTGAACCTAGGGCTTCATGCATGCTAGGCAAGCATTCTATCACTAAACCACATTCCCAGCCATGTTAAAAATGTTGAAAAATTGAATTAAGCAATTAAGCTTTAAGATATATTAAGCCCCCTCCCCCCACTTCCCTACTGGGCACTGAATTCAGAGCCTTCTGCTTGCTAGGTAAGTGTTCTACCACTGAAGCCCAGCCCAAGATATCTATCTATCTATATAATATATATATATGTATTATATATATAATATATATATATATGTGTGTGTGTGTGTGTGTGTGTGTGTGTGTGTGTGTGTAAACAGCACTGCCTCTTCTAGAAATGGCTAAAGCAGCACGTTTTCATCCTGTAAGGAGACCAGAAAATGACAAGATGGGGAAGAACAACAATAACAAACATGAAGTTTTTCTCTTCTACTATTTCCTCCTTCCAAGAAACAAACAATGATTTGAATACATTATATACATTCCTGGAAATGTCACAATCAAATTCCCCTAGTATGCTAATATATGCTAATAAAATTGCCAAAATAACCTAATAAAAAAGAAATAAAACACAAAAGCACTTCCCCTTTTCCTTCTTACCTCCCCTTTGTACCAGCTAAATGCACCTTTTCAAATCTAGTATTCCACCTGCCTTTGGTGCAACGACCCCATCTTTCCTGAGACAGACTGAGGAGAGCTCCTCCTGCAGAGCCCAGAGCCCGGGATTTTTCTTTGAAACCATACAACTAGTGTTTGATGTTCACACCATGAGAAATTTATCTCATTCTAACTGGGAGTAATGTACTAAACATAGCTTCTTTATATGATTTGAGACATAAAGTGGTTAGCATAAAAGTGCTACTCTTTTCTAAGCAATAATGTTATTAAGAAGCACTTTTAAAGCACTTTTCATCTTCAAAGTTCTTTACAGACTAACTAATTAATCCTTTCAACATCCCTGAGACAGAAGTATTTATCCTTTATAGATGGCAGAAAGGGCGGTAAGATGTTAAATGACTGGCCCCAGGCCACATAAGGATCCAAGTTTAAACCAGGCTTCCAATGTAGGGAGTTCTGGTTTCCAGGTGTGTGTCTGACCATATTTGATTTATACAGTTCTACGCAGGAAGCTGTCTATTAGGTTGTAAATGACAAGGTCCACATGACAAACTGATGAAGTTAAGACTGTTTCTTGTCTTTTCTTTTTTGGCTCTGGGGATGGAATTCAGAGCGTTGCACTTGCTAGGCAAGCACTTTGCCACTGAGTCACATCCAAGTCTGTCATTTTGTTACAAAAAAAAAAGGACAAAACTCAAGTGTACACTGACTAACAAGCATGTAAATTATGTCAGCCTGAGCAAATTCCTCTGCCTGTCGATTTTACCTTGTTCTTCCCTTTCCTAGCTATAAACTCCAAGCTTCAAAGTGAACAGGAGCTCTGGGAGCCGCTAGGGAGCCGCTGGGCCAAAGTGGACATGGAGAACACTAATTTGGGAAGAAAAAGACTCTTCAAGTCAATTGTGGGAAATTACTACTCTTTTAAGAATGACCTTATTTCCTCCATGCTAGGTATATAAACTCCAAGTTTCTTCTGTCAATGTACGTTCAATGCACACGTGTGAAAACTTGTTCTGTCTAGGCTACTTGGAAAGGCAAGCTGGGGTTTAGAATGAGCCATGGCAGGAGATCAGAGACAGCCGGGGACGGTGGAGAGATTTCTACATTAAAGCAAGTTCTACTTCCCTCCCTTTGAAAGTCAGTTTGCTGTTACGTGGCTGCCACCCAGCAGTGCCGTGTCTGTTGCCTGAGAATGACTGTTAAAATGACAGCAAAGGCAGGAAAGTCAGATGCAGCTGCATTAACTGCAGCTCTGCCACGGTGGAACAAGATACAGAGAAGGCCTGTGGGGAGGACCGGCCCCTCCCCCCCCATCTAGGTTTCAGGTCTAAAGAGCAGGGTGCTTTCTATTTAGTAACAAAATTAAATATGTATGGAATAGTCTAAATTAAGAAAAGATAACCACCCCAACTCATCTGTGGCAACTGCTAAGAAAAGATACAGATCTTAAAAGGCTGAAAGTAGAATGGACTCTTGGGAAGAACCTACATTATTAATAAGGCTACCTTAATATAAAAGAGAAAAATGGGCATAAACTACAAGGGGGTAAATCAAAGTAGATATTCAGTAAATGCCCCAGGAAAGGGCAGACTTCTTTGAGGTCTTAAAATACATACACACTCCACAATTTCTCTAATTAGATACATTTAATTAAAAATCATACTCTTCAACTAAAGTTTTAAAATTGCTTTGCAGGGAGGGGTAGCAGGAGAGGAGAAGGCAAGATGAAGATACAGAATTCATAAAAGTGCAGAAATATCATCTACAGATAAATTGTCTTCAAAATTTTAAAATGATTTTTAAATGTATATTTAAATATATTTTTAGGGACTCTGAAATAACTGATTTTGAAAACTTTTACCTATACCATAAAAGTTATCAAAAACACAGGAAAACTAGTGTTTTCAGTTTGTACATGTTGCTTTAGAGGCCCTACCGAGGGAGGTAAATTCAAGTTACCATGAAATCTAGTGAGCCATCTATTAGCACAACTGAAGTTCAAGAGGTTTCTTTTTTTTCATGAATAAAGTTTTATTGTAACACAAAAGAAAAGTAACTTCATATAGCTACATTTTCCTTGTTCCATTCCTCATGTTTCTGTCCTTTTTTTACTCTATGAGCTTCTTTTTTATGTGCCATCAGGCACATAAAACCTCCATCAAGGAGGTTTCTAAGAACCGTGGCTGCTGCAGGCCTAGGGAGCAGGCTCTACTAAATGCAAAGCGCTCAAGACTTTTTGGAGGGTGATTTGGCATTGTCTGTCACACACCCTTTTAGACCCAGAGAAGCCCATGGCTAGGCATATATTCTAAAGCAACACTTGCACACACATACTCTCTAAGAGAAAAACAAGAACCACCTCAACACACACAATGGAGCAATGGATATACACACATGGTGTGTCTCATTCATCTTAAGAAATGTTCCTACAATGATACTTAATTGCTGAGAGCACGTTAAACACAATGATCAGCACGCTCCATTCATGTCAAAGAAAGAAAAGCTCCAAGCATACGGGAGTGAGTGTGGTGTACAGAGGATGAGTGCACCGACAGGCTGGAGAGACAGCGAGGACCCAGCAGTGAGCAGCCTCTACCCTAGCACGCTGGGGCGCTGCTGGCGCATGCTACTACCTCTTTAAACTGGAGGCTGCGAATTCATTTCAAAATTAAGATTTCAGAATGTCCACACTTCACTCTTGTCCATTATTTATCAGGGAGGATACTTAGTTGGGGAGAAAACAAGACCACAGTTAATGCAGATAGGGTAATGCCGACACCCCAACGAAGAGCTCTGCTATGGAACCACCCATGAAGACAAGGTCCTTGAAGGCATGAACTATTTCCAAGAGTCTCTGAATTCCAGGACATACCACAGGGCAGCTACTTCAGAGTAAGCTTTCACACCTGAGCCAGCCAGCAGCTAGAACAGACATCTCCACTGCTGCTTCCTGCAGGCCACACTGCCCAATGCCAGGGAAGGCCAGCAAGCACATGCTTCCCAACACCTATCTGCCAAGGAAGCAGCAGCACTTCCAGCTTCTACCTGGCCTGCTGACTTTGAGCCCAGTGGCTCTGAGGATGCAGACACTGTCCATCCTCAGCCTCCTGCACTTAAGGATCCAGACTCCTTCCCAGGTTCCACTTGGTCTATGGCCACCATCCTCTCGTTTCTCCACCACCCTCTTCCCATGGTTGATTCCTCTCTGTCCACTTCCAAAACATCTCTCTTGGGCCTAAAAGATGGCTGCCATCATTACTGGCTCCCACTTTTCCTTTTACTGCCAAACTCCTTGCGAAGAATCAGGTACATTATTTATATATTTTTAAAACTCCCTGCTCATTTATCAATCCCTTCCAATCACATGTGAGGTCTGTTTGAGAAAGCAGGAGCCCCTCCCAGCAAGGCAATGCCAACATGGCTGTTTTCCTCACGGTGGCCTGGTCTGCCCTACTCAGGGCGAGGCTGACCCCACTCCTGCTCTGAGCCTCAGCGCCATGTTTCCCTGCTAACTCTGACAACTCACTGTTATTGCCCATCTTTTCAATCAGAATTCTTGTCCCTAAACAGGTAGGAGATATGTTACATCTCTAAAATCCTACACATTATTTTACACACACTTGCATTTTTTGTAAAGAGATATATACCAAATCTGTTTCCTTCACCTCAGAACTCATGAACAGTCACAGTGCGGGGACCTTTCCATCTCAGTTTCAGCACAGGAAGAGCTGTTCTTCCTCAGACCAGCATCCCCAGCCTCAGCCCCCTTCGCCTGCCTTCAGGAGCCCAGACCTACATTTCCACTTATCTATTGAACACTTCCAAGAAGACCTGAGTGCTCTGCAGGCTTCATATGTAAAAACCTCCACCACAGAGGGCACAGGCCATTTCACTGCCATCCTTGATGGCTCCTTTTTCCTTTCATATTAAATTAGTAATCAATGAGGTTAGTGCTGGCTTTTCTTTTTCTCTCTCTGGTAGTGTATGAAGACTTTGGTTCTCAGGCTGTTTTGCTCCCACCTACTTTTTGGGTAAGTGCTCCCTGCTTCTGACTGGGATGAGGTCACCATTTGTCAGTTGATCTCTAGGTGTCCAGTTTTTTCCCACATTGTGACAGATTTATGAAATAAGAGACCTTCAATGCTTCTGTTTTTAAACTAACGTCCAGTACCAGGGCTTGAACTTAGGGACTGGTGCTCATTCCGCTTTCTTGTTCATAGCTGGCATTCTACCACTTGAACCATTATCTCCAACCTGCTTTTTTTTGCTAGTTATTTTGGAGACAGAGTTTTGTAGCCTTTTCTGCTCAGTGTGACTTCCTCCAGATCTTAGCTTCCTGAATAGCCAGGATTACAGACATGACCCACTGGTACATCACACTATGTTTTAAGTGTTTTATGGTCTAAAGTATTTATACAATTGGGGGAAGGATTGGAGCAAACTGATCAGGTTGCCTCAGCTGTACAAGCTCACCACCTCCCCACCCTGAAAGTAAGGACTCAGCATCTTTTTTTCTTCCTTCCTTCCTTCCTTCCTCTCTCTTTCTCTCCTTCCTTTCTCTCTTCCTCTCCTTCCTTCTTTCCTTCCTTTCATCGGTTGGGGGGCCCAAACTCTGAGGCTGGGCGCTGTCCCTCAGCGCTTCAGCTCAAGGGAAGTACTCTATCACTTGAGCCACAGAGTCATGTCTGGCCTTTTCTGCTAATATGGTGCTGAGGAATTGAACCCAGGGCCTCATGCATTCAAGGCAAGCACTCTACCACTAGGCTACCTTCCTAGCTCTCCCTTCCTTCCTTCTATCTTTTTTTGATGAGTTGTAGGGCTTGAACTCTGAGCCTTGGCACTGTTCCTCAGCAATTCAGCTCAAGGCAAGTGCTTTACCACTTGAGCCACAGCACCACTTCTGGTTTTCTGGTGGTTTATTGGAGATAAGAGTCTCACGGACTTTCCTTGCCCAGGCTGGCTTTGAACCACAATCCTCAGATATCAGCCTCTTGAGTAGCTAGGATGATAGGTGTGAGCCACTGGCGCCCGGCTGGACTCAGCATCTTTCAAAAGATCAGTTCCAACATGGCCTCTCCTGAAGATTCCCTCAATTTCCCCCACCTTACCTTAAGCCTGCTCTTTCCTCCCGCACTGTCCCATGCCTCCCTGCGGCGCCGAGACTGTTTGCTATGACTGCAGCACCCCAAGGTGTGCGTCTCCCCTTCCTATTCCCAGGACAGGACAGCACCTGGTTCACGCCAGTCACTCTTGGGTGTCTGATGAATGGCTGGGCGGAGAGGCAGATAAGTAGGTAAATAATCCATAAATAAAGTTAGCAAACTGTGCTGACAGGCTCACGCATTTATCTAAAGCCATATGACTATGCAGAGCTTCGACTTGTTATTTACTTTTTCCTTATAGAAATAGTTCTCAAGCTGGGCAAGTCCAAGGGACATTTAAACAGAACACATTCAATTTTGATGCAGCCTTTTGTCAATGGCCTTGTGATAACTCGCAGAACAAACGTAAGGAGTCACTTCATTCTCTCAAGGATAATAGTTTCATGCTTCATGAAATAAGGCTCAGATACTGCAAGTTCAGGATTTGCCACCATAATCCAGTCATGACTCGAATTCAATAAATAGTGTGTGCCAGCAGACTGTAGGCTATTCATACTAAAGGGTTATTACTTTAAACAACAGGATTTTTTCCCCTCAGGCTTATATAATATGATTACTGATGTGCTCTTCTCCTCCTAATGAATATTTAACTTAGTAAGAATGCTTACCTACTGTGTATATCCACTCAGCTCCTGTTTATTCCTAAATAGGGAAATTTCATCCTGTTTGCTTTTTACATTAAAGTCCTGCTGCAGCTCACAGACAGTGGGAAGCATGTTAGTGAGATTACTCATATCCCTCCTTCCCCCTCCAAAATAATGTCCTCCTAATTCCCCTGGATACACTCAAAGCAAAGCTCCCAGTTTCCTGATATGGGCTGGGGAGGGGAATGAGTTCTTTTTTAAGCAAATCTTGAAGAAGTTACTTCCTGAGTCGTCTGACATGTAGCCAGAGCACTGAGGATTCAAACTTTCAGTGATTATCTTTTTGTACTTAATACCTCCGTGCAAAGTACTATTTCAGGAGGATATTAAAATAGTAAACAAAGCAAGACCAAAACATCAGATAATTTAACAAATCCATCCACAGGACCAGAATAACAGAAACAAGCAGCCTTCCATCTGCTTCTGAGCAGGACTTGATCCAAATCAAGCCCTAAGAACAGCAACTATACAAAAGAGAGTTGGCATACACTCCTAGAGCAGCCTCTTTGGAAAACAAAAGGCTACATGCAGACCTGCCATGTGACCAGCAAGTCTACTCAGAGGTGGAATAGACTTGGACGATGAAAACTACATTCAGGCAAAAGTGTACCCAAATGTTCACAGAATCATGAGTCATAATAGTCAAGAAGTGGACACAATCCAGATACCCAACAACTAGCGAAATGGAGAAATAAAATGTGTCAAATATCTATAGACAGGAATATGATTTGGTAATGTTCACCCATGCTGTATCACATGTTCCATATTAGCTGTAAGTTATATGAGTCTCCACTTTGAGAATCTCTAGGCAAAGTACTGATAGATCTGGGTATTCTAGATGGCTAGATGGTCATGGGGGAGTGACCATCTAGAAGAGTGAGCTGCCCCTGGGAGCAGCTGAGGTGGAGGAGGGGATCCTGCAGACAGCTGGGGGATAGGCTGAGGCCAGAGCTGTTTCTATACCATGTATTTTTCCAGCCCCCAGCTTTTCATTCAGAAAAAACTGTTAATGTGGCAAATTAGCTTGTTTCATCCTAAAAAACAGTATACTAAGTGAAAGATGCTAGACACAAAGTGCTACATATTACACAATCCTATTTATATAAATCAGAGCAGGCAAATCTACAGAGACAAAGTAGACTAGGACTTGTGGTCACCTAGATCTGGAAAATGGTTGAGTTATGGGTAAAGGAGGGCTTATTACTAACGGGGCACAGGGTCTCTTTTGGGGTGATGAAAATACTCTAAAACTGATGGTTGCTGCACTCACTGGGCACCAGCTCCACAATTCTCCAGCCCGGACCTGGCCAACCACCACTGTTCCTTCTGTCTCTATATATCTGAACCCTTGTTTCATCTCTATTTTCCTGCAAAGACTTATGGCAAGTTTTCCAAGTGTCCTTTTCAATAATCATGTAACTGAGATGGAGTAAACATAAATTAGATTTGGATTAAAAAAAAAACTTTTTGTTAGTTGGTGCAAAAATACTTGTCTATAATCCTAGCCTTCCTAAGAGTGGTGGAGGATTTTGAGGTCAAGGTCAGTCTGAGCTACATAGTGAAAATTTATCTCAAAAACAGAGAAATAGTAAAATAATAATAATAACTTTTTGTTGAGAGGTAAAGAATTTGTTATCTCTCAATTACTACTGGCCACAGGTTATGGCCTCTGATCTGTATAGCATGGAACAAGACACTTATCTGTAGGCAGTGGGGAAAATCAGGGACAACAAGAGTTTGGCTTTAGCAGTTTAAAGTGTTCCAAGTTAGGTGCCAGTGGCTCATACCTGTAATCCTAACTACTCAGGAGGCTGAGATCTGAAGATCAAGATTTGAAGATAGCCTGGGAAGAAAAGTCTAAGATTCAGCATCTCTAATTAACTAGGGAAAAAAACAAAAGCAGAGGTGTGGCTCAAGTGGCAGAGTGTCAGCCTTGAGGGGAAAAAAAAAAAAGAGCCAAGGCAGAATGCAAGGCACTAGTTCAAGCTCTTGTACCATCACCAAAAATGAAACAGTGTTCCAAGGTCTGTACCACTGTGCATAGGACTGCTTTCTGTATTTCCATGTATGTACACCACAGTTTAAAAGTTGTTCAAAACTGAACGTAAGGACTAGTGTATTTTAATGGTGACATTTGCCCCAGACTGGCCTGGTGCTGGCCTCATGCCTCCTGTCTACAGCTTGCACTCCTCACTTCCCTGCAGACAGGAGTGTCAGCTTTAGAGCCATAGGTGATGGGAAAGCAGGGGCTCCGGTGCTGCCAGGGCCGCGGGACTCACTTCATCAGTTTCTGCTTTGTGGCAGAATCTTTGAAGCTTCTGAACTCTTCTCCTGCTTTGATCTCATAGAACTGAGGCCTCAGCACCGTCTGCTGGTCCTCCTTCAGCTGCTCCCGCCGCTTCTCTCTCTCCTCCTGCTGCAGAAGTCGACGCTGCTTCCTGACCTCTTCCACCCAGCCCTTTTCATCATCGGAACTTTCTGAGCTTTCTGCATCACTTGGTTTTCCTTCCAGTTCTTCCTCTTCTTCCTGAAATTAAAAATAGTAAAAGGAGCTCCTTTTCCCCAAACACTGACTTTTTTTTTCTTTTAAATACAATTAGCCCACTAGAATAAGTGACCGCTGCCCTCTGTTTACATCAGAAGAAATTTTCTCATTAAATAAGGCATACTCATAGCTGAATGTCAGACAATTAGCATGCAAGTATAATCAGAGCATTCTAAGTTACATGGAAGATGGGTATGAAATTGCAAGCTTAAATGATGCAGAGTACATTACTTTTTCACGAAGTTCTTGTTGCTCTAAAAGTCTTAGTTTCTTCTTCCTTTTCTCACTTATTTTTGAAACAAGTGGGTTCAAAAGCCTAAATTCTTCACTTTCTTCATCGACTTGGAAGTCAGGGTTCTCAAACATAACTTTAAATCGATCATCAGTGAGAATATTAGGAAGGCTCTGCAAGAAAAAGAAGAGAAAAAGGTTGTAAATATTTAAGTCAATATCTGATTAAAATCTAACCAGAAAGGGCTTGGTGCCTGTGGCTCATGCTTATAATCCTGGCTACTCAGGAGGCTGAGATCTAAGGATCGTGGTTCAAAGCCAGCCCAGGCAGGAACATCCATGAGATTCTTATCTCTAATTAACCACCAGAAAACCAGAAGTGGTGCTGTGGTTCAAGTGGTAGAGTGCCTTGAGCTGAAGAGCTCAGGCACAGCGCAGGCCCAGAGTTCAAGCTCCATGAGTGACAAAAAATAAAAACAAAACAAATAAATAAAATCTAACCAGAACGATGACTTTGAAAACCATTCACTGCCAAAATTTATAAGAAACATTTTTCTTTAATATTTTTAGTGCAAAAAACTTTTTAAGAAAATACATAATTTTTTGAAACATGGCCATCTTTTTCTTCCCTCCCTTCCTTCTTGTCAGTTGTGGGGCTTGAACTCTGGGCCTGGGCTGTCCCTCAGCTCTTCAGCTCAAGGCTCTACCACTTTGAGCCACAGCCCCACTGCTGGTTTCCTGGTGGTTTATTAGAGATAAGAATCGCATGGACTTGGAGCTGGGAAGGTGGCTCAATGGTAGAGTGCTTGCCTAGCATGCCTGAGGCCCTGGGTTCGATTCCTCAGCACCACATAAGCAAAAAGAAAAAAGCCGTAAGTGGCTCTGTGGCTCAAGCAGTAGAGCGCTAGCCTTGAGCTGAAGAGCTGAGGGACAGCGTCCAGGCCCAGAGTTCAGGCCCACGACTGGACCCGCCCCGCCCCACCCCCCCAAAAAAAGAATGTCATGGACTTTTCTGCCTGGGGTGGCTTTGAACTGCAATCCTAAGATCTCAGCTTCCTGAGTAGCTAGGATTATAGACGTGAGCCACTGGTGCCTGGCTGAAACATGGCCCTTGAAGCATAGCAATTATACTAAATCAAAGTGAGTCAACTTCATATTCATATAGCAGTAAGAAATTGTCAAAGCAGTGGGGTGGGGGTTGTTTCTCAGGACAAGATCACAGACTCCAAGTAAGGCATCTGGAAACATACAGATGCTTCCAACCCTTATAAGGGCTGCTTCCTTGTTTTCTTCGCTACATCATTTAATTGCTCTCAAAGATAAAGCATATTTTTCATATATTACAACTCTGGCTAAGTACTCAGACCCATTTGGATAGCTCAGAACTGACACCTGAATTCTTTTCATCTGTACCTTTCTAACAGAAAGCTTCCTGAAATGTACTGTAAGCATCTATTCACTGAAAATGACTAGTGCCCTCAAACTTGGGGCTCTTTCCTTGTGTGTTTTTGGTAAACTGCAGGCCTGGAAGCCAGATCAAACAACTCCCTCAGGAATGGACTGTCAGTCAGAGTGTAGTCTGAGACAGAACTGGAAGAGGCCAGCCTACATGGGATGGACTCCAGACTTACTGAGCCAGATATCTTTTACCGTCTGACCCTCCACTACTCAGAATAAAGTTGTAAGCATCTGAGTTGTTTGACAGAACTATACAAAAATCTTGTAAATCATTAAAAGAACATGGCCTTTTATTAGTTCTCTGGCCTAATTTGTTAAATCCTGACCCCAAATCCCACAAGTCTTCCCTGATTTAATATTACACCCAAAACAGACTTAGGCTCAAGGAAGAAATAGACAGGAAGATCTAGTTCCTGACCCCATCTCATGAGGAATTAAAGAGCTACAGAGTCTCCTACAAGACATGGTACAAGTCTGCAACATGAGACAGCGCAGAAGGGTTCCCAGGGATGTGGATCTTTGAGAAGGCTGGGAAGAGAAAAGCAGAAATGAGAAAGCTGAGATTTGAGCTGAATAGTAGTGAATTGCCTGATATCATAAGATTGGCATAATTTGAAAAGGTCTTTCGATCACCTCAAGCTAAAAAGGATTATGAACACCATGATGTTACACTGAAGGTGGGTCAGAGGAGCACTATAAAGAGGAGAAAGGAGTGACAGATGACAAACAGGGGTGTCTCAGTGATCTCAGCTGACCATAGAACATTGCTGAAAATATAGCAGAGCATGGGCATGGTATACAGTGGGCTGCTGAGGGGCAGTCTAGAGTCCTCTGGGAGACTCAGGGGCCACGAATAGGACAGAGGCAGGTCTGGACTAGGATAATGGGAACAGAAAAGTATTATTATGAGATCCATTTGTAAATTAGAACTGAGATACAGCAATCAGTGAAGCAGGAGGCAAGAATTCAAAACAGGGTTAGAAACACCTGTCTACTATCCACCTTATGTGACTAGACAGACACTGGTAACTCCATGAGGCAGAATCCATCACTAGAGCATTAAGGAAAAGGCATATGCTAAGTGGTAAGACATGATGCTCCATTGAAGATATAAGTGTGATGTAGGTGTCTGTCATTTTGGTTCTGATGACAGCATCAGGTCTCTGGGAACAATGTCTCAGGACTTAGGAGATAGGAAGGTGCTACTAGGTAAATTGTGGAGTTATCTGATCTGGATATTTAAGTCAATGGCTATGTGCCCATTTTTAGGTTAAAAAACAAGGCAATCTTTTCTTTGTATCTTATTCTATTTATTAAAGTAATAACCATATTTAATAAATAATGTTGAAAATATGCTTCTGGTACTTTTTTGTTGTTGGTAATTTCTTTCTTTCTCCCCTCCCTAGCCTCCTTCCCCCTACCCTTGCCCCCGCCTTCCCTTTCTCCTCCCCGTCCTCCTCCTCCTGCTTCTCCTCCTGCTTCTTCTGCTTTTTTGCACTGGTTAGTGCTCTACCAACTGAGACATGCCTCCAACCTCTGCTTCTAGTAAGCTTTTTTTTTTTTCTTTTTTTATGCTGGTCCTAGGGCTTGAACTCAGGGCCTGAAACTTTTTGCTTAAGGCTGGTTCTCTACCACTTGAGCCTATTTTTTGCCTTTTGGTGGTTAACTGAAGTAAAAGTCTCACAGACTTTCTTGCCCAGGCTAGCTTCAAACCTCTTGAGTAGCTAGGATTTCAGACACAAGTCACCAATGTCTAGCTTTTTGATTTTTGTTTTTTTTTGGTCCAGATGTGGGGCCTGAAGTCTGGGCCTGGACGCTGTCCCTCAGCTCTTCAGCTCAAGACTAGCGCTCTATTACTTGAGCCACAGCACCACTTATGGTTTTTTTTCTTTTTTGCGTATGTTTTAGATGAACAATAACAAAGTAATTTTTCTTTTTTCTTTGGTTCCAGTTGTGGGGCCTGAACTCTGGGCCTGGGCGCTGTCCCTCAGCTCTTCAGATCAAGGCTAGCGCTCTACCACTTGAGCCACAGCACCACTTCCGGCTTTTTTCTTTTTGCTTATGTGGTGCTGAGGAATCGAACCAGGGCCTTATGCATGCAAGGCAAGCGCTCTACCACTGAGCCACCTTCCCAGACCCTACAAAGTAATTTTTCTGATCCAGCTATAAAACTATTTCTCCTGGGGATTTTTTCTTAGTCTAAGTGTTTTTCATTGCTGTCTTTAAGTTAGTAAAATGCTTGTGACTGTTTATACGGGTCTGACCAGTGATGTACCCTATAAACATGCATATATACATGCTTAACATGGGCCACTAACATCTGGAAAACATCTGAAAGCACCATCTATACTAGAGTCCTTTTCCAAAGTGTGAAATCTGCAGATCTTAGTAGGTGCTTATTATTACTATTCTGTCAAAAAATAGTAACATACAAGAGTGATATCATTTAAAGTATAGATTCTGCAGCCTTGTCGTTCTCTGCGTAGAAGAGAGGAGGAGGACCTGGCGGGGGCCAGTGCTGTCCTGGGGAGGAAGAGTGTGCTGATGACAGGAGAGGACATGAAGGTTGGCACCTACAGCTGAGGTGCCCTTTGTCCCCCGGGCTCCCAGGCTCTTGCAACCTGCAGGTGTCACTTCCCATCATGCTGGCCACTAGGCCTTCACCAGTGGGAAGAGCTGAGGGAGACCTGAGATCTTCCCCAAATGATCTGGCTGGTTCCTCCCTCAGAGTTGTCACGTGCTTTCCAATTCCTGCACTCTTCACTATGAGTAGCTAACCAAAGATCACATTAGGAAAAACTAATTTTTTTTTTCAAGAATACTCTCCAGCACTGAAGACACATTTCTAGGTTGAAGGGCTCACCAAGCAGTCAGCCATTTGGGATAGAGTCTGCCCTGCAAATGAGTGTTGAACACAGCAAAGGCTACACATGTGAGCAGACACTCCCCTTTTACTGGAGCAACTCTATTCATCACTTTCTGGGAGAAACAGCATCTTAAAATTGCCTTCACTAAATCCAAATTCACTGACCACTCATCTGGATTGGAAAATAGTAGGATGGAAATTACATTCTTTCAAGAAAATTCAAGGTTCTTCTAATCCTTTTTCCAACAAGTGCTGAGGTGGTATGAATACTTAGGAAAATGACAAAGGGAAATTCCAGTATTAGAAGGCAATCAGTCCAGGGAGACCCAGAAGTAACTTCTTTAAGCAGGTACCTGCATAGCTGTCTTGAGGGAGGTCTAGATACATGCTACAGAGCTAGGTCTTGATTAGTGCTGATCATGCAGACAACCAGAGAAACAATGACTAACTCCAAGGGAAATAGAAGTTGGGTGAGAGATTGAGGCAATAATCAGTTGGCTCTTGCTAGGCGGTAAAGAACATTTATACAGTTGTAATAAGGTAAATGCCAAAATTACTGACTTAACCAAAATTACTCCATAGCTTTATTGGAATGCAAGGGATTAAAAAAATGCCTAACTCTAAAAAGTCAAGAAGTAGCACCATATGCAATATTAAGAGTTTTACATTGAGTTGATCAATTAAGGAGGCAAAAATGTTCATCTCCAAGGAAGTGAAAATGAGAGGAGAAAAAAGAAAGATATGGACAATGGGATAGCCATTTCTCCCAACAGACCTACAAAAACATTTAGATCATTATTTCCTTTTTTTCTTTTTCTTTGTGTGTGTTGAGGGAAGGGGGCATGGGGAG